CGAGGTGGCCAAGCGCATCCCGGGAGTGGCACAACCCTCCCAGGTCTTGGGGCGCACGGTTTTCAAGGCCATCGCTTAGGACGACGACGACTCCAGGACCATGAAACTGCGATTCGCTGACTCGCTTGTCACCTCCTCCCTCCTCTTTAACTCCGGCACCTGGAGCAATATCGAGCACGGCGCCTACACTAAACTACGCAATGCACTGATACACAAATATCGTGCGGCCAGCGAACTACGACGATGCGATAACAAGGCAGTGTCGGATGCGATGGTGCTTGATACAGTCAACAGGTGCGATCTAGATCTACAGCTAAGGATCCACCGACCAGGCCTCCTGTGCAAGGTGATACATTTCGGGTCGGCTACTGTCAAGGGCCTTTTTGCAAACGCCTATCGGGCTGCTCAGGACCACCGACCTTGTGACACAAAAACATCCTGGCTTCATCATGTTCAGGACGACCTACTCTGACTACATACTCTTTGCAAGCCTCTTCGGGAATACCTTGCCCCAGACGAGGATTTCAGTGCTTGGGAAAACACATCCGCCATTCCTTGCCTGCATGGAAGCGTCTCCTGTTCCTGCGAGAAGCCGCAGCTAGCGCTGCGGGTGCTGCAGCGAGGTCTGCACTGGCTGATGAAACAGAACATACCTTTTCTGCTATCACGAGGCCTTGCGGTTTTCCGTTACCTATCACGCATCCACAACATCCGCTGATAATATGAGTCGAAGAGAGCGCCTGCACTGGACTGCCCATGGTGTGAGTTTGAGTTTCATCGGCCGAAGGCGCTGCGGCAGCACATTGTCAGAACACACTTCAGCATGGTCACACAGGTTGAGCGCTTCCTAGGAGAAGGATCCCAGTGCCAGGCCTGTGGCACCGACTTCGCCTCGAGAAGGCAGGTCCGCGACCACCTCGCTTTTGATTCGGCTCGCTGTTCCCTCTCCTACTTCTGCAAGGGTGCCACTCTCACGGCTGAGAAAGGACAACAGGCAGCGCTGCAAGACAAACAGCTGTGTGATATGCATCTCAAGGCGGGGTTGGGCAGGTGGAGGTCAGCATAACCCGCGACCGTTGGCATTAATGGGATGATCTGGGAAACGACTTGGGTGTATTCTCGCTTCACGGAGCTGGAGGCCCAGCAGGTTATCAGAGAGGCTCGATACGAGTACCCCCTGGAGGCCCTACCCACCCTTATGCAGGCTTGGCGAAATACTCCACCAGAGCCCCCTTAGGAGCCTCCTCCTTTCCAGTACGAGGACCGCTACTACATTTTCCAACCTAGCGACTGTGATGACGTGCTGCCTCTCCGCTTTCGTATAAAGTCATGAGAACCGAAGTTTTCATTCTGAACCTCTTCTGCGGCAAGCGCCGCCGGGGAGACGTTCAGTACCATATCGATGCCATGACTCACGATGTTGACCTCACCATTACGGTCTTATCCATGGATATTGCATCAGGAGCCGACGGGTGTGGGTTACAGGGGGGGCCACCATGTGAGACATGGGGTGTTGCACGGTGGAACGACGCCCCCCCCCCCTCTCCGCACCCAGCGCTACATCTGGGGAGTACCGTGGTGCACACAGGCACAGCAGGAACAACTGAGGGTGGGCAACCTCCCACTCTTCACCATCACACAGCTCCTAACCGAGCACGCACGTGCTGGCACTAGCGGCTGGATCGAGCATCCCCCGCCAGCTCCCTGGCGCCCGGAGGCACCATCGAGCTTTTCCTGGATGCCTCTCCGAGCCTTCGAAAGCTGCCCTTAGTCAGCACTATTATGTTTGATCAGTGCATGCACCGTACGAAGAATCCCAGCTTACACTGCAAAGCCGCGACTAGGATACTGGCTCTTAGGCTTTCTACTACCAAGGTCCTCTCAAGGCCACGAACAACGGCTAGTGCAACCACGGCCCCAGTGCCCATGCTGTCCTGCTGGGCAAGAGCGATGACGGTACTTTCAAAACGAGTGGGAAGAAGACGTACCAACCATCCATGTGCCTGGCGATCGCCAGAGCCATGCACGACAGCATCCTAGATGCCTTCCACCACGGACAGGGGCCACCACCAGAAGTTGAGCCAACTACACAGGTGTATGACGACGCGAAGGTGAGGCAGATCTATGTGCCGTGGTCCGATTCCGAGCAGTCCTGGGAGGCTCCCGACTTTGCCGGCAACAAGGGCTCTAAACGTAAAATCGATGCTGAGATGTGGCGTTGGGCTCCTCCCGCCCCGCCTCCCCCTCTCTCCTCCGCCTCCTCAGGGTCCCCTCCTTGCCCTCATGTGGCCCTGGTGGGGTTTCCCGAGGTGGCCCCCGAGGACCCGCCTTCACCCGAGGATTCCCCCGAGGCCGACGAGGAGGCGGCGCGGCACCTCTACCTGGGCGGAGCTACGCCCCGAGTGCCTGCGCCCGCGGCCTCCTCCCTTCTGCCGCTCCCACCGCCTCCGCCACCTCAGCTCGCGCCTGAGCAGTTGGCAAGAATCAAGCAGAACAGGAGGAAGCCCGTGAGAGAAGGCGCAAACGCCGCGCTCCATGGGAGTTTTCGACCATTCTGTGGCCAGAATATCCTGTCTCCCTTTTGTTGCCCCTGGGCCTTCCAGGCCCCGAGGGGCCTATGCAAAGTCATAGTCAACAACACAAACAGGACCAAGCGTCCATGTCAGCGTCCGCCGCCGCCGCCCTCCCTCCCTGGTCCCCCTGTCTTTTCCGGGCGCAAAACTCTGGAGGCGCGCGCGCAGGCAGCGGCCCCACGCCTGCGCCGCCCCCCCCCGCGCCGGCGGGCACGACGCTCCACGCCGTGCCGCGGAGAGGGAGTCGCGGCGGCTGCTGGCTTGAGCTCGGTGTGCCCGTTCCACGGGGGCCCACGTGGCTCCTGGAGCTGTCCGATTTAGGCCTGGTTTGGACTGGATATGTAAAGTAAAGGGGCCCAGGGACACACAAAAAATGTACACAAATCCGCGAATTCCTCATCAGAGTGAAGGGGTCGAACAATCATTCACTGTCACTGGGTGCTTGACTGAAATGAGATTCCGCGATGCGGATTCTTGCTGTCGTTTGTTGTTGTTTGGCGTCGTCCCACCCGCGACCCGCCCCGCGACCCACCCCGCGACCCACGCCGCGATCCACCCGCGCCCCACCCCGCGACCCACCCACGACCCACCCGCAACCCGGCCGCGACCCATCCGCGACCCGGCCCTCGACCCACACGCGACCTGGCCCGCGACCCACCCGCGACCCGACCGCGACCCACCCCGCGACCCATCCACTTAATCTTCACTCAAAAATCGGCGCCTGCGGCGAGCTCGTTGTAGTATTCGTTAAAATGAAGCGCCTACGGCGGGCTTCTTCAGAGCCTCGCAGACTGCCGACGTCCCCGCCGCCCCCTCACTCTTATCCGCGACTGCAGGGTGCTACGCATTTTCTCATATTTCCCGGGCTTCCGTCTTCCCCACCACTTCCCATATTTTCAATTTTATCCTGGGAGTTCACGATGAATTGCATCTTTGGGTTAGTTCCCTCCTGAACATGGAGCACATGCGGGACCAGGTTTGGACTGGAGTCGAACCAGGCTCGCCCCTGTCGCAAGGGAGAGGGGCAGGACGAGGAGGGGCGAGGAGGAGCAGGACAAGGTTCGCCACTTTCGCAAGGGAGAGGAGCAGAACGAGGAGGAGAACGAGGAGGGGCCAGGAGGGACGAGGTTTGGACCGAAGACGGACTAGGTTCGCCCCATTTCGCAAGGGAGTGGAGACTGAATAACGAGGAGGGGCAGGAGGGGCCCAGAGGGGCAAGGAGGAGCAGGAGGAAGGGCCAGATGCGGTCGAACTCCTCCTCCTCCTCCTCCTCCTCCTCCTCCTCCTCCTCCTCCTCCTCCCTCCCCCTGCCCCGCCGCCTCCTCTCCCCACCCTCCCTCCAAATGTGGTCTGAGTGCTGGACGAGCTGATTCCAATGTCGCCGCCCAAGGCTGCCATGAACAGACATCGAAAGAAGGGGGGACCTGGCTCAGGGAAAGGGTGGGGAACATTGACCCAGATTTCCAACGATATGGTCATGTTTTTTTCGCTCTGGTATTTCCTCGTCCCCCTCATGGCTGCCAGCTACCAAGAGGAGGAGAGAGGGAGGGAGGACTCGATGATCGAGGATGGAGGACGGGAAGGAGGGGGGGGGGTCGAAGATCGAGAGGAGCAGGGAGGACTGAGGATCGAAGAGGAGGCGGCATCGAGGATCGAGGAGGCGGGAGGGAAGGAGGGAGAGGTGGGGCTGGGGAGGGAGGTGGACCGAGGGTCGAGAGGCTCGAGGTCTGGGGGTGGGGTCGCTGCAGGCCCCCAGGACGCCGCCACCGCGGGAAGCCCGCGGGGGCCTCCAAGGAGGGGAGGGCGACGAGGGGAGGGCGAGGCGGAAGGAGGATAGGATAGGATACCTGGCAGCGCGCAGAAGGGGGATAAAGGAGAGAGGGGGACGGCTTCTTAGAAGGAGGCTGCTTCTTAGAGGGCGCGGGCCTTACATCTATGGTAAGGCCCGTGCCTTCCGAGAAGCAGCCTCCTTCGAAGAAGCCTTCCCCCCCCCTCCCCCTATCCCTCTTCTGCGCGTGGCCGATCCTCTTCAGCAAGAAGGAAGCAAGGTCGTGAGGAAAACTGGCCCTGGACCTTGGGGCCATACGCCAAGAGCAACTCAACATCACGAGTCTTTTTCTGGTGGCCCCGGGGGTCCCGTGCAGGGCCCTGGGAAGCCAGAAGAACCGCAAAAAAGCTGGCGGCGCGCATCAAGGGGGTAGGGGGAGGGGGGAAGGCTTCTGGGAAGGAGGCTGATTCTTAGAAGGCGCCCGCCCTACATCTACAGACAGGGCCCGCGCCTTCTAAGGAGCAGGGGTGCTTCTGAGAAGCCCTTCCCCCCTCCCTCTACCTCCCTCTGCGCGCGGTCGAGAAAACCAAACAGCCCGTTTCCCTCAGGGCCAGTTGCCTTCAAGGCGATCCCCCACGCGAGGTGGCGGCCAGCACCCCTCAGCTGCCAGCCGCTTTGCGGGCGAGGTCGTCCACGCATGTCGCCCCCTCTGCGCGGGGGCGCCGCCGACCACGCGCCCGAGGACCGATCGAGGCCGAAGGGAAGCGGGGATGGAGGGTGAGGTGGAAGAGGGAAGAGGAGGCGCAAGAAGGAGGAGAGGATTCCCATGTACCCAGGGGGACGAGTCGCGCAGCAACGCTATTGCGGAATTCACTGATGAGAGACGCTAGGCCGACCACCAGCCCTGAAACCTGCGGGGGCCTGGCCGCTCGAAGACGAAAGAGGGCGAACAGGGAGGAGGAGGAGGAGGAGGAGGAGGAGGAGGAGGAGGAGGAGGAGGAGGAAAAACGGAACGGAACGGAACGGGACGATTGCGATCCACAACATTGGTTCGTGACTGGCGCCTTGCCGCTTGAAGACGTGAAGACATGTAATGACCTTCGCCTTGTCACACACAAGGGCAATTACCTGCGACCTTGCTGGGGGGAGGCCGTTGGCCCACAGCAGGGGAGAAGCAGACGGGGAAGGGCATGGGCAGGAACGAGGAAGGAGGTGGATGATCCCCAGTTCCTCGCGCTGCTGATAAAGAAGAGCGCCACGGAGGGTACGGAGGGTGTTTCAATCTTCCGCTGCTGGGGGGGAGGTTCGCCTGGCCGCAGGGCCGTCGAAAGGCGACTCAGGAACGGAGGCCGGTCCTGGGGAAGGGGTCTAGACCTCTGGAAAACCACGCTATGAAACAAACACTACGTCGGATGAGGTGGATGAGATTGTGTGGGGGGAGGAGGGGGGAGGTGCATGAGGGGTGAAGAAAGGAGGATATGAACGACGCAGAGGAGGGGGAAGAAGGAGGAGGAATCGGAGCGGCCTCTTGAGCGGCTCGGAGCGCCCCTGGGGCCGTCCGGGGTGGCCTCTGGAACGGCTCGGAACTGTCTTGGGGTCGCGGGGGCGCCCTCTTGAGCGGCTCGGAGCCGTCAGCGGGCCGTCGGGGCGACCTCTGGGCAGTGGGGCCGTCGGGGCGCCCCCATCAGCGGCTCGGAACCGCCGGAAGGCACTCTGTCCAGGACCTCTTCTCGCATGCACTGCTCTCGCTACTGTAAAACACATGACGTTGGGATCCAGCTTCGCCTCCCGCATCTCGCCCAGCAGCCCAGGCGCCAGCTGCAAGCGCACGCCCTTTTCTCACACGCGCTGATCCCAGCGTTGAAGAAGAGATGACGTTGGGTTTCATATTCGTCTCCCACATATCGATCAGCAGCGGAAGCGCCCGCTGCCACTGCTCGCCAATCTTGCACGCGCTGATCCCAGCGTTGAAGCTAATGACGTTGAGCTCCAGCTTCGCCTCCCACATCTCTCTCAACAACGCGAGCGCCCACGTCGGGTTTCAGCTTGGTCTCTCACATCTCGGTCAGCAGCGCAAGCGCCCGCTGCCACTACTCGCCAATCTCGCACGCGCTGATCACAGCGTTGTAGCTAACAAGGGCTGACACGTCGATTGCGTCCACTTGCGGGGTGACTGGGTGCTGCCGCCAGGCGATCAGGATAGATGGCATCATGTTCGCCTTCCACATCTTTCTGAGCAGCCTTTGCAAAGAAGGGGAGAGAATAAGATGAGCATGGGCGCCATATTTTCTTTGGTGGCAGGCGCGGCCCCCAACCTCTCTGAGGGACCTTCCCTCGGAAACGACTTGGAGGCGGTGTTGTGAAGGCCTTGTGGCATCCCGGTGGTCTCTTGGGACTTGACTTGGGCCTTTTAGGGGGCCTTCGTGAGCGTCTGGGGGGCCTCTTGGGAGACTTCATAATCATCCCCCCTCATCATCATCAGCATCATCATCATCATCATCATCATCATCATCATCACCATCACCATCACCATCACCATCACCACCATCATCATCATTATCAAGACCACCATCATGATCATCATCAGCATCATCATCATCAGCGAGGGCGCGCCGCTGGATGGCCCCAAGGGGGGGGGGACTCCCCCCCGCCCCCCTTTCCCCGACCCGTCGTCGGGGAACCGCCCCCCCCTCCCCCCCTTTCCTGGTCCGTCGTCGGGGACCTCCCCCCCCTCCCTCCCCCCATTTCCCGGTCCGTCGTCGGGGAAACCCCCTTTCAAAAGGGGGAGGGGGGGTCCGACCCCCCCCCCTCCCCCCCGATGGCCGCCAAATTCGATTCCCCTCCCCAAGTCCCCCCTTTCGCCACGGCGCCCCCTGGCTCCAAAACCCGACCCCTACCACCCCTACCACTACCACCCGGCCGCCCGTAACCCGAACCCCAAACCCTAGCCCCGAACAACACACAGTATTCATTACTCTCCACTCACGACCCACTAGTCACTACTCGCTACTCACTTCTCACTACTCACTGCGCACTACTCACGACTCGCTCCTCACTACCCACTATTTACGACTCACGACTCACTACTCACCACCCACTACTCAATACTCACTACTCATTACACATTACTCACTACCCACTACCCAGTACTCACTAATCACTACTCACTACTCACTAACCACTATCCACTACTCGCTACTGAGTACTCTCAATGGAGGGCGCGCCGGATCACCCAAAGGGGGGGGGGGGTTCGGAACCCCCCCCCCCCCCCCCCCCCTTGCCCGAGCCGTGGTCGGCGAAACCCCCCCCCCCCCCCCCCTTGCCCGAGCCGTCGTCGGCGAACCCCCCCCCCCCCCCCTCCCCCCCTTGCCGAGCCGTCGTCGGCGACCCCCCCCCCCCTCCCCCTTTCCCGAACCGTCGTCGGCGAACCCCCCCCCCCCCCCCCCCTTTCCCCGGCTCGCTCCCCGGCTCGCAAACCCCGGCTCCGAACCCCATCCCTACCACCCCCCCGACCCCCCCGAACCCCTAACGTCTAACCCAAACCCTGAACCCTAATCCTTAATCCCTAACCCGAAGCCTAAACCCTAACCGTAGACCTAACCCTGACCCCAAACCCTAACACTAAGCCTAGCCCTAACCTAAGCTCTAAACCTGAACCCTTAACCCAACCCTCAACCCTATCCCTACACCCTAACCCCAACCCTACCCCTCACCCTAAACCCTAAACCCTAACCCTAACCCTAAACCCTAACCTCAACCCCAACCCTGACCCTAAACCCTAAACCCTAGCCCTAAACTCTAAACCCAAAACCCTAAACCCTAACCCTAACCCTATACCCTAACCCCCAAAACCCTACACCCTAAACCCTGACCCTAAACCCTAACCCTAACCCTAACCCCTACACCCTAATCCTTAACCCTAACCCTAACCCTAAACTCTAGTCCTAACCCTAACCCTAAACCTCAACCGTAACCCTAAACCCTATGACCTAACCCTAAACCTTAACCCTAACCCTAAACCCTGAACCCTAAACCTTAACCCTAAACCCGAACCCGAACCCTAATCCTAAACCCTCACCCTCACCCTAACCCTAAACCTTAACCCTCAACACAAACCATACCCCTAACCCTAAACCCTAACCCTAACCCTAACCCTAAACCCTAAACCCTAACCCTAACCCTAACCCTAACCCTAACCCTAACCCAAACCCTAACCCTAACCCTAACCCTAACCCTAACCCTAACCCTAAACTGCAGGCGCGGCCCTGGGGGCGCGCATCGCCACGCCTGTAAGGATCTGCAAGTGAGAGCGAGCTGCCAGTCGAGCTCACCGCCACAATCGGCCTGCCGGCCTGAGGCTGTGTCTCGCTCAGAAACACATAACCCCTAACCCGGGGCCGGATGCTCCCAAATCGCGGCCGGCCCTGGTGAGTTTAGGGTATTGGGCCGCGGGTTTAGGCTTTCCCTTAAAAACCATTGGATTTCCTTAGAAACTGCCCCAGAACGCCTGGCTTCGCTACGGAAGCGCGCTGCGGCGCTTAGATAGCCGAAATCGTAAAATTAGCGCTTGGGTTTGCCCGCCGCCGCGCTGGTCCCCCTTGTCGCGCCCGCATGTAGCCTCTCTGACATCCAAGCACTTGTATCGGCGCTTAAAAACCTCCGGATTTGCTTAAAACTGACCCCAGAACGCTTGGTTTCTCTGGAAGAGCGCGCTGGGGCAGGTTTTATTGCCGAAAGCGTAAATCCAATGGTCCAAAGGTTGTGTGCGTCCGCCGGCCAAAATCCTCCCTGATGCGGCATCACGGAGGATTCTGGGGGGTACCCACAACGAGCTCCCCCGGGCTCCTTGGCTCCTTGTGAGCTCCCATAACGAGCTCCCCCAGGCTCCTTGTGGGCTCCCACAACGAGAGCCCCCGGGCTCCTTGTGGGCTCCCACAACGAGCTTCCCCCGGCTCCTTGTAGGCCTTCACAACGAGCGTCCCCGGGCTCCCGGTGGGCTTCCACAACGAGCTCCCCACGGCTCCTTATGGGCTCCCAAAACGAGCTCCCCCGGCCTCCTTGTGGGCCTCTACAACAAGCTCACCCCGGCTCCTTGCGAACCCCCACAACGAGCTCCCCCCGGCTCCTTGTGGGCCCCCACCACGAGCTCTCTCGGGCTCGGGCTTTGTGGGCTCCCACAAGGAGCCCGAGAGAGCTCCTTGTGGGCGCCCACAACGAGCTCTCCCGAGCCTTGTCGGCTCCCACAACAAGCTTCCCAGGCCTCCTTCTGGGCTCCCACTGGAGTTCCCACAACGAGCTTCCCGGAGCTCCTTGTGGGCACCCACAACGAGCTCACCCGAGCTCCTTGTGGGCCCCCACAACAAGCTCTCCAGGAGTCCTTCTGGGCTCCCGCAAACAAGCTCTCCCAGGCTCCTTGTGGGCTCCCACAACGAGCTTCCCGGAGCTCCTTGTGGGCGCTCACAACGAGCTCTCCCGGGATCCTTGTGGGCTCCCACAACAAGCTCCCCAGGACTCCTTCTGGGCTCCCGCAAACAAGCTCACCCAGACTCCTTGTGGGCTCCCACAGCGAGCTCCCTGGAGCTCCTTCTGGGCAAGGATCTTCCCGGGCGTCCGGCTCGAGCGCCGGCCCGGGTGCCGGAATCGGCCCGGAAGGGTTCCCGAGCGCCGGGAGCAAAAAATCAATATCTTCGAAAGCAAAATGTGTATT